CTGACACCAGCGTGGCTAGGCCGGCAACGGTCTCTGCATTCTTGTCCTCTGTCCTCGAAGTCGAGAGGCGGTGGTGATGGGTGGACCTGTCCTCACCAATCTGTCCTGGGCCAGCATCTGGCCTTCCTTTGATGTCCCTCTCCTGCCATGAGGGGGCTCTGTCACTGGCTCTGCAGACCCCTGTCCGAGTGGCTAGGAAGCCCTGCCCCAGGACCCCTGGAAACCACGGGGGCTGCTCCTCCACCCAGAAGCGAACCCGGGCACCCACCTCGGACTCAGACGCGTCCACCGACTTCTCCTTGACATTCAGGCCCTCGGTCAGCGCGGTCCCATTGTACTTGTTGCAGATGTCTTCGTCCGAGTAGTGCAGCCCACCGGGGCTGGGCCGGGGAGGGGACCTGCGGGAGGGACCGGGCACAGTGACTCCCCCCAGGCAAGCTCTTCGCCTTTTGCTTGTTAGAGAGCAGCAGCCGGCCTGGGGGTTCGGGCTGCCTCCTGTCCCCCTCTGAGTGCCCTCCAAGGTCTGAACGGGCCCCTGGGCAGCAGACACAGGAGAGCGTGTGTGGGGAGAGCTGACAGCGTGGGCTGGGGACAGGCCCTCCCTGGACTGGAAGTGATGGGTGAGGACGTGAGACTCCCTCTCTCATGTCCTTTGGACATGTCATCAGGAGGGACGACTCCCCGGAGGACACCATGCTTGGTCAAGCGGAGGGGCGGCAAAGGAGAGGAAGCCCTCGATGAGAGGGGTGGACACTGGCTGCCACCAGGGGCTGCAGCACCGCCGCCGTTGTGAGGATGGCGCGGACCGGGCGGTGTTTCCCTCCAGTGCACAAGGGGTCGCCAGGAGCAGGAACTGGCCCAAGAACACCAACAGCAGTGTCTTCTCTCACGCGCGTCTTTGTTTGAACAGGACAGAAGCAACTGGCCTCTCAGTGACCAAACATGGTGAGAAAGGCTCGAGTGATTGGCCTGGTGCCTCTGACCGTCTGCCCCGGGGCTGGAAGCTGACTTTGCTTTGGGGCCGGGCACCAGCGAGGGATGGCAGAAGGGCAGCTACACCTGCAAGACCTGGCGTGGCTCTCCAACGAGGGAGGGGAGGGGCCTCTGTTGGTTCTGAGCCGCAGGACCACGGAGGGGGCTGGGGTGATGGGCGGAGTGGCACCCTCCTAAGAGGAAGGGTCAACGTGG